AAACAAGGTTTTCAAATCCACTCACTTGACAACCAAAAAGCTGAGCGTTTTGTCGTGCTGCTGTGGTAGATTGCTTGCCGTGGTGAGAAAGTGTCTTGTTATGGTGAGTATTGTGTTTGCTTGTCGTGGTTGCAACGCCCCTTCATGCTCAGCCCGAAGCCTTACTGTTGACAGATGTTTTGCTGGGAGGACTGCCATATGCACTTTTGACATGCTGAGCGTCATGTATTTGGTGTTTGCTTTTGTCGTTTTGGCTGTTCCTGCCATGTCTGTTACCATTTGGTCTTCGTTGTCATTTGTTTGCCATTCTGTGTCAGCTGTGTTTTCCTTGTACTCTCTGGTAGTGAAATTCCGTGTCTTGGAGTTTCTCACGTTTTTGCCAATCATGAGTTGCTGGGATTGAAGTTGGCATGGTGAGCCCCAAGACTCCTGTGTGCGAATGGAAGCAACGTGATGTCCAGAAAGCAAAGGAAAGGTCATGGGCGAAACCCAAACCCAAATCCCTGAAACCCAAACCCTGCGCGGTGATGCGTCCAGTTGCTTTGACGTGTTCTTAGGGGTACGTGGAAATAATCTTTACTTTTTGCTTATTATTATCCTAAGGAACAGCAAAAATTATGATTTTTACTAAGGGTCCAAGGTCCCCAGACTGTTTGGGTGTCCTGGGACGGCACCGGTGAAGGCGGCCCAGATTTTTTCCCGTGGTTTGACCATTGTGGCTTCTATGTGTTTTATCGTTATGGTTTACACACCCCTTTTTTGCTGTTTTGTGCTTCTCTTAGTCTATTTATGAGGCCCTTGTCCTTTCTGGACTCCAGGTAGTCTAGCCGGTGCCACCAAAGGCTGCTCCAACACGTGTAGATGTCTATGCGCATGATGCTTTGAGCCTCGGCGACTCCCTGGGAAACTTCTTGATGCCGGCAGTTGGCACGCAGCAGGACCTACAGCAGATTGCCACTGAACACGCAAACGTAAAAACTTGTAGTTAGTTCTCTGAGCTATGGTTTTTTTTACACAACGTTTGCTTCAGTAGACTTGTATACTAGCGGAATCACAGCGAGGGTCGTCTGCTGATGTCACCGGTCAGGGATGGCCCCCAAATGGCACATGAATGCCTGCATTGCGATGCGCTAAAATTAAAGCAGGTAAACGGACGGCAGACAAACGACAAGCAACAAGAAGCTGGCAGCATGACAAACAGCTGGCCAAAAAACAATGCAACACGAGGATGTGGCCAAAAAACAATACAACACGAGGATGTCCAAGCTTCAGACGCCCGAAATTCTTTAGGCCTTACTTCTGACAGTGGGCTCACGACCATGAAGCGCCATGCCGCAGCCGCGCCAGACCCTGGCATACTGAGCTATGCAGACTTTCATAGTGGCTTGTTGTGATCCAATGTAGGATTTTGCCATAGACTGTGCTATGTGTATATATATATGTATATGTACACAAGCTTCCTTTGGAATATTGGCGAGTGTATACATAAAGGTCCGGTTGGGGAGGCCTTAGGATCCAGCTCTTGCCAGTCTCAACATCCCTTTCTGGTGGTTAACGGTAAGTAGGGAATATGAGAACGCAATGCATACAATGAGTTTCCTAATTCTCTACTAGCCACCAGTAGGATCATCTGAGGCAGCGTTCTGGCCCATGTGAGGCGTTCACCTCTGGATGCCCGTGCAGTGGTGGAGCTGAATAGCAAGGGCCAGGTGAGAATTTCATTCCAACAAGTTAGCATGTGGCAAGCTGATAGAAGGAGCCATGTTTCGGGTTGCATTCATAGAGCCTGAGGTCTCAATCACTCTTACTTACCGTGAGCTTCTGGCATGGGCAAAGTTCATTGCATTACGGATCGCGGAGGCCTTTGCGGCCAGCAAGCTGAGCACCTCCTCCGGGATTTGCAGTGGGGTGCTGCTCGTGGCTTTGCATCTCGATCGGTCATCGCTTGCGCTGGCAGCAATACTGGGAGTGTGGGAGGCTGGAGGTGCTTATATCCCTGTACCCAAAGATATACCACTCCCACGGCGACGAGCCCTTTTTTCAGATGCAGCCCTGGTTTTGACAGACATAATGGATGACGACTTGGCGGACAGCCGTAGAATAATTTTGCTGGAGAAGTCCCGCATGCTGGTCTCTGACAGCAATTGCCAGACGACGAAAACTCCAGACCCTGATCACGTCTGCATGGTGGTCTATACGTCCGGATCCACAGGACGACCCAAAGGGGTAGTGTGCGACCACAGGTGCCTTTGGCACTCAGTGCGCTGCTTCACCAAAGATCTTGGTGAGGAAAACTGCAGAAGACTTTTATGGAAAACCCCTTACCAATGGAGGACAGCAGAATATGAACTGTATCCTGCGCTCTGCCTGGGAGGTTGCATCTTCATTACACCTGATGGGTCTCAAACGTGTTTACCTTTCGTTACCGATGCTCTCAATAACTATGCCATCAGTGCTCTTGCTGTGGTGCCTTCAGTTTTGGGGCCTATGATTGAGCCCATTTCAAGCGTTGCTTCCTTGACGAACGTGGTAGCCGTAGGTGAGCCGCTTCCACGGCACATTTGCAGCAAGGCACTGCAAGCCCAGTGGCAGCTGAGAAATTATTACGGCTTGACAGAGACGGCCATGACAACGTGGCATTGTGCAGCCCTACCTGAGAGCGTTATTGCACCTGTAGGGCGGCCGCAAAATTCAGCTCACGTCACCCTGCTGGATGAAGACGCTAAGACTGCCCGCCAAGGGGAAGTTTTCTTCAGTGGCATCATGTTCCGTGGCTATCTTCACATGCCGGAACTTACAGCAGAGAGGCTGTGGCAGGCACGGCGTTGGTAGTTTAAAGCAGGTCCAGAGCAAGCCCATTTGCAGGTTTGCGGGGAAGCTAGGGTCTTTGCCGCACTGAGGTGGACGGCAGGACTTCTTTCCGGACTGGCGACGTTGGAGCTTGGAACGGAAACGGGGAGCTGGAAGTGTGCGGACGTGTCGACCACCAGGCGCTCAGAGCAGAAGCGTTGACTCGGGTAGTATTTCGATCAGTTCCTAAACGTTTCGGAAACCACCCTTGGGCCCAGGGAACTGCATTAAGGGATTAGGAAGCCCACACGTCTACGTCCTTCAGCAAATCGGCTGGGCGGAAAGACAAGGAATACTGGAGGATGACAAGAATGCTCGTGTGCAAGAGAGCAAGTGGAGTGAGGGAGACGGGTGGAATTCATCGCAAATTCTGCGTGAGCTCCATGCGACACTGTGCCAAAGGGGACGCTTCACGCGGGAGCGCGATGTCAAGCCAAGACAAGAGGACGTCCCATGCGATGGCATGATTTGAGCGAGCGATAGCGAGCGCAGGGCACCAAACAAGCAAGTTGCCTCCAGTCACAGAGTGTTTTGATTGGAGCCCCACACAAGGATGAATTGAAACAAAGAGGTTCATGGAGGGGTGCAGCGCAGCCCCGATGGCTACGTTGATCGTACGGATCCCTTACCTCGCTGCTAGTGTTGTGGTTCGGCATTCTGGTTCTCATTGGTGCATGGCAGGGAACAAGTTCCAAGCTTTCAATCGGTAGCCTGCTTTGGTCAGGTCAAGCTGCATGGTGTACGTGTGGAGCTGGCAGAGATCGAAGCGGCTTTGAGCCCTTACTGTCAAGAAGCTGCAGTGGTTCAAGCGGCAGAGGATGAGCAAACACTTGTCCCCCACTGCATCTGGCCTTTTTGTGTTTGTTTTGCCTTTTGGAACTTGAACACCGGGCCCATCGGGACACCAAAGACAGTTGGCTGAGGTTGCTTTTCTGGTGTCCTGCACTGTTGAGAGACAGGAAGACTTCCAGGGGAAGATGAGGGAACGGGTGGCACGGCAGCTGCCAAGCTACATGGTGCCATTGCACTTTTTGGAGATACCAGCAATGCCACGTTTGGCAAGCCAGAAGGTGGACCGCAATACTTTGCGTATGCAGACGAAGGGCTTGGCAACCCGGGCGCATGCACAGGACGCCTTGTTGCGAGGAGAATTTCAGGACCCAGTCATGAGTTACCTGGATTCTCTCGGCTTTGCCCGTGCGGTGACCTTGAAGCAGTTGGAGCTACTTAAGCTTTGGGACACCCTGACGGTGCTTGGCATGGCGAATGTAATCCTATTTCACTGGTATTGGTATGTGTTGGTTGAGCCCCGCACGTATGAATTCCCTTCGCCGGGTCGGCCTGAAGACAGTTTTTTGCCAATGCCAAAATTGCCAATGCCAGGCTGGGCATTGTTTTTGTACCGGCTTGCAACCCAAGACTGGGCATACGGCGTTTTTTGTTTTGCGGCAGCAGCCCATACGTCAAGCGAGCAATCGGCATTCACCCAGCGGGATGTGGCTATCTTGGCGCTGTACTTCTATGCAGGCGGGCGGGGTGCGTTTGCAGGTTCTGGCCAGATACGCTTCAGGGCTTCGCGTGTTGAACTTTGGCACTTTGAACGTCGCAGGCAAATGTCAAGAGGTGGCAGCATGGAGCGCGACAGACATTGAGTGATGTTGAGGGGTGTTGTAGGCAGTGCCTCCTCGGGTTGAAAGGCTGTCCTCATCTGCTTTCCCAGATCCACCAATCTTGTTTGAAGCAAAGCATGGTTCGCCATCAGGTTTTCTGCCGATGTTGCTGTCTCTGTTTCTGGCAGAGCCTTGGAGCAGCTTCGTATTCCACGCAGAGACCATTCAGCGATGGTTTCTTCTCGCCTTGATGGTGGGCAAGGCAACGTTGGTGGTGGACGAGGTGTTTCGAGGTGGGAACAAATTGCTTTGCTGTAAGCTTTTGGTGTATTTTGGGTAGTGCTGCTTGCATATTGTAGGAGAGTCAAAAGTCAAAACCAAAGAGCATGCACTCAGCGACTGATGATGAAGCTGTCCCCAGGCAGCTTTGCCGCGCTTGCTATGCTGACAGTTGCCTACCTTTGTGTTCCATTCTGCTTCATGGATCTCTGCGGATCTGGTGGTGAATACTTCCTGCCGACCGACTGGTGGCCGAGCTGCCACTCCTGTGTACTGACACCCAAGGCCTGCAGTCTTTGACCAGGGCATAGCAGGGCTAAAGCGCGGCCTCCTTTGCATTAGCCCCCGCTTTTGCCCAAATGAAGCGCCAGGAGTATCATTACCATTAGTATTGCTATATTATATTTCGATTGTAAGTATTACTATAGTATCATTATTTCCAGTATTACTACTAGCATCATTATTATTACCATGTTTTCAAAATTGTTATTATGACAAGTACTATAGCTGTACGGTGACATTTTTAAAGAAGTGGAGGGCGGCCAACCCCAACGNNNNTTTCCTGTTTAGATTCAATTCCGGAGGCTGGGCGGCCGGACGCCATGCTTTGAGGAGGTGGTATAATTCGGTTGTTTACGTGTCCGGATGTTTAAAAAGCGTCGCCGCAGGCTTTGTTTGTATTCAGTGTGCCTCTCATATCATATCAGCAAGGGGTCGGGCTTCAGGAATTTGTCAGGCGACCGTCAGGTTGCAGAAATGGGCAATAATGGCGCTGGCAGGGTTTGGTGTTGTTTGGTGGCCTGGTGCAGTAACTTGTCTCATGTGGAGCAGTGCGGGCATGTAGGGTCAGAATTTGGATTTTATCTATAAATGCGCTGGGCTTCACCAGATTTGCCTGGATACATCGGAGGCCAGAGCCTAAGATCAGCTACAGGGGCTGTGTTTATATGAACAACATAGAGGCTTTCACTTGCACAGCAGCATTTCAAATTTTGATCTTCAGCTGCAGCTCGTCAGGTTCTGATCTGCGCGGTGATCTATGCATTTGCTACCCGCTTCTATTCTGCCTTATCATCGCTGGTGCTGAACTCTGACGTCATTTCGGGATTGGTTGGTTTCAGCCTATCCAGTCTTCTGGCATGGCTTTTCTCCACGCAATCCACAATTGAGGACAAGCACTCTTACAACACTCTTAGCGCTTTAGTCATGGCACGGCTGGCAGGCCTGCTCCTGATTGCTGCCCAGACGATATCGCTGGCTTGCTTTTGCCGACCGATTGCGAGATGCACATGCTTCAGATGGCCAGCGCAATACCTGCTGGGCAGCTTTTTCTTTAACGTGAACTTTTTGGATGTGCTGGCCATGTCACCCCGAGCTCGCCGGCAAAGACCTGAGTATCAAATAGTATGAATGGGTCGGGTGCTACAGCTTCAGTGGCCCAGCAAGCTGAGGCAGCTCCTGTTGCCTCTTCAAGCTGAGGGGCCGTTTTGGTGTGGACCCTAGCGAAGTTACCGGTGTTAATCAAATGGTCGCTTCTTGAAACAATGCCGAAAAACTGAAGAGGGTTCTGGTGGCAGGTCCGGCGTCCTCATGTGGGTAGCTATGGTGGCACCCGTAGCCCTTGACTCAGTGATCCCGTTGACTGTGCTAAATTAGTTTGCTGCCAGACAGCAGTCGCAGCAGCTGTGTCCGAGGCCGTTTTTATGCTCTTCATAGCTCCAGCATTCCAGTTTGTGCCGGTCCCTGAGTCACAGCACGGCCAAGCTTTGTGTAGCGTTCTTCGCCACCACCTGCTCCGCAACGTACTGGCCTGTGCAGGTTCATTCAGTTGCCACAGCGTTTACTGATGCAAGCTGCAGCCATTGGAGACAAACTTAAGCTGCGACCGTGGAAATTTGGAAGGGTGCAGAATCTTCAGCAGCCACTTGTTGAAGGGAGCTCCCTTCCAGCTGACGCGTATTGCGTTTAGACGGGCCGGCCAGCTTTTGCAATGCAGAAAAGACTTGCCACTCATGTTGGTTGAAGTTGTGCTTGTTGTCACTTTTCCAGCTATGCTCCACATATGGCAGCAAGTGCCTGTCTCATGCACGGCCAAGACTTTTGTGGCGCTCCGCCAGCTCTGTGTAGCGGGGGCTTTTGGTGCTGCAGGAGGTGGGGAAACCGAGCTTGCCGCAGAGCGAAAAAGACAAGAAAGGCAAGCAGAAAAGCAAAACCAAGCGCAAAGACGAAGGTCACAGAAGCAAGGACACGGGCAGCCCTACCCAAAGCCAGGCTTTACCAGACCATTTTGGGGTGGGATTGCGAGACCATAATTCTGAAGCTTTCCAACCTGGCAGGAAAAGAAGAAAAAGCCAAAGAAGGAATCCTCAAGTAGAGCCCTCAGTGCTAAAGCACGCGGTCATGTGCAAAAATGAGCAGTAAGATCATCGTGGCGAGTGCTCCAGACAGCAGCCAGATGTCGTCACTTTATGAGGCTCTGAAACGTGTATCCTGCCAAAGAAGTCCAAGAGCTGAGAAGCCAAGCTTACAGGCAGGAGGCAGCAGCAGATATCATCAGTAATCCTTTGGGTTGCTGTTAAGGAACTTAAATTAAGTTACTATAGTGGGGAAACCCCATTATTTACTACATATACCCATTATGGTAATTTAATTTAAGTTCCTCAACAGCAACCCAGTCTTTTCCAAGGGCAGAGGGAAAATGCGGGTTTCAGAGGATGCCACAGCATCGGAATCGAGATGGAAATGGCAGCGGAGGCTCAGCAGATGAGGGCTCGGGGCTACCGAATTATTCTGCCGCGCCTCATCTATAGGCTGGGTTATATAGGAATAATGGAAAAGAACATGGAAACTATTATTATGGGTTATATATGCCTAACACACAAACAGTATGTGAGCGTTAGATTGATGCCTCATTGTGGCAGACTCAACACCAACGAAGACCTCAAGCTCACAGCCACTGGAAGAGCGATCACGTCGCAGACGCCCGTGCTTTTGGTTGAAAATCGGGGGCTATGTGGGTTTCTGCAACACACGTCTCAACACAGGTCCAAGACCCTGATGTGCGCAAACTTCTTGGCTTAGGTGCTCATGGCCCTAAGCGCGTTTGCGGACGGCCACCCCTCCAGCTACTGAAGGGCACTTCCTTTGCCGCAGCAGATTGGTGCAAGGTCCACTAGGTCCTTGTATCTGAGAGTGGTCCGAGGAGATACCAAGTATCCTGCTTGCATCCGGAATAGGGGAGACGTCTGCGTCGAGAAGCTAGCCATGGCTACCTCCTTGCAGCATGTCTCATCCGCGAATGGCTCTCAGCATGCTTGATTCATGAAAATTGATCGCCCCTAAATTTGCATGATCGTATAAATTCAAATTCAACTCTCAATACCTCACTGCTGCAGATGTTTGTGCAACTTGTAGCGCAGCTAGAGCAGCTATCTCCTGAAGCAGCCCAGAAAGCGTAGTTGTTGCACATCACAAGAACTTCTGATCTCTAGCAAGAGCTTACGTGACGATCTGCCCAATGTTGGCAGATGACCCGCTTGTCACCCAATACTTTGGGCACTACTTGCCAACGCAGGAGGGGCACCTATCCACTAGGAACCTCTTTGATGTCAGCATTTCCTTTCAGATGCTGAAGCTGTGGGAGGAAGAGCTCGACCTCATGGCGCAGATTCTCAGCGCAAATCCAGAGTTAGAGACACAAGCACAGGACATGCAAGGCACGGGAGAAATGCTCTCACAGAGACTCCCCTTAAAGCGGTGGAAGGATTTCATCGTAATTTATGGAGACGTCGTGGCAACTCTGCGGTGACTCGGCGCTTTCACTTCTCTTTCGTGGGCACAGATGGTGTCAAGACCACCTAAGTCTAAGGCGTTTCTGCTGGCAGGCCAAGCAGCTGGGCCTTTCTGGCAAAGCCTGTGCAGAGGAGGCTTGCAACTGGGCCCTTGAACACTCTTCTACCCTTTCTGGTGGGAATAGAGGGTTTAGGGCTCTATAATGGAGAATCAAATGGAAAAGAAAATGGAAAATGAAATGGAAACTGGGATTATGTGGGGTTTATGTTGTGTTGTATTCTTATACTATGACCGAATCTGATCCTTCGTAACGGTCCCTGTAAACCATTCCTTCATTTCCTGTTGGTCTAGGTCCAGGTCTGCCTTCCAATGTGGTGGCTTCAGGATCACGTATCTCATAGGGTTGGACGCTGTCCTGGACACAGCTTCAGTGCATGCGTGAAGCCATGCCACGTTGAAAAATGCTGTACTGACCACCGGAGTCGGTTTTGTCGATTAGCTTTTGGGATGATAAATGCAGGATCTGCTGTAGAGATCGACCCCTTCCCCTGTAGAATCCGTGCACATCCCTGAATCGCCCTGTGGGACGGAGCCTAAAGATCCGAGCAGCCTCCTCACCAGGCAGTCAAGCTTCTGCAGCAATGCTCAGAGAAGCGGTTGGCGCTGCCTGACTTAACGGCTTTACGGGCTTTGAGCTGGGGGCCTCATGGCAGTTTCCAAACATTTGTGGCTCCCTTTTCGGGGGGTCTCATGTTAACGACGGGTATTAAGGACAATGGTACATTGGGATTCCTGTGTTTATGGCAACTACGGTGGGTCCTTGTTTTGAATTTCGGCGTGAAAGGCAAAGGCACATCTTTCAGTTTTCTATGTCTCAACATGGCACCTGGATTTGGGCTTGGCACGGAGGTTGGGCTTGAACACGATCCTCGCGAGCCCGAGTTTTCCAGAAGATTATTGGAAATCTTTCATAGCAACTGTTCCTCAGACGTACCATGGATTGGGCCTGAGAGGGCAGCAGCCCAGCTGCAAATGCAAGTTTTCGCATTAGGTCCGTGTGAGGACACAGCCACATTTCCATGAATCGAGCCTGCGTAGCCACACTATGCAAGTCACACCTGGAATCAAGGCCAACTGTTCTAATTCGAGCTGGAGCGATAGACCCTGATGCAATGAGCAATCTTTTAAACACTGGTGCTGCCCTCGCCGTTGATGGTGTCACTTGGCCAGTTTAGTCGCGTCAGGCCACTGTCCACAGTCATCTCGACCCTGAATCTTCAGAGCCCTATCCACTGGTGGAATTCTGAGATCTTTCAATCCAGGTTACGTAAACTGTGCTTTGTGCGGCTGCGCAGCATTTTGCTGATGAACGCATGTTCTGTACGAGGTCAATGCAGCCGTTCTTTGTTTTCTGCGTTGCGAGGACTGATCGGGGCGCGCGAGAGGGAACAACGGGAATAACCGATTCGTGCAGCTGCCCTTTTAGCGGTACACCTTTTTCAACGAAACCGTTAACCGCTAATTCCACGCAATGACATCAACAAACACTGCAAACCAACGGGCATGCAGGAAGTCCTTTTCCGACAGACCGTGCCCAGAGCAAGTGAGCAAGTCGGCCGGCTTGTGGATCGGATTATCTTGCACCTCATCTGCACAAGCAGAATACACTCTAATGAATGCGCAGATGACTTCTGCGTTTAAACCCCTTACTGCTAGTTGCCATTTCCTCGTCCATTTGATTCTCAATTCCGGGGGGCAATAATATCCCTAACCCTATATATCCCCTACACTCCCTTCTAAAGGCAGCAGAAAGCCAAAGCTAAGGGTTATTGATCTTTGGGGAGTGGGGCTTGGCCACCTTCGATTCGCCACGGACTTTCTGTCAGCTGCTGTGAAGCAGACTGTCATTTTATATCCGGAAACCTTGGACCGCGTCCTGATTGTGAACGCAGCTGCTTGGCAACAGTTTTTAGCCGCTGCTAAGTGGTGGAAAGGCTGGCATTAATTCAACACTGCTAATTCTAATGGGCTGATTCTTGTACAGCTTAATTGGCAATGTTGGCTACTTTGCCATCTGTCGAATCTGTCGAAGGCTTGGTCGTTTGCCACGCTGCTTTGGCCCCTGGTTAAACAGCTTTTGCACCCTGTCGCCCAGCGGAAAGTGGAGATTGTGGATGCCGCCCGGACTCGCAGCTCAGTTTGCATTGTACGATTTAAGGGTTCAAGGGTTGAAGGTTGTGGGAGTGTAGGGAGTCCAGAGCATGACCTTGGCCCAACTGATGCCAGTCATCCAGTTTTGTGGTCAAGCTTCAGGTGCAAAGCTTTTGGAGCACATGGGCCCGGAATGCTTGTCATCCCACTACGGTGGTGCGAATGAGGGTATCCACATGGGGCTGCTACTCAGGCCACCTGAACCTGAGGAAAGCTGACCATGACGCTGGCAATCGCTGGAACAAAGAGAGGTGGTTCGCAAATGACTATATCAATCATGGGCAGCCGTGAGCATGTTGCTGCCGCAGTTGCACGGCAATCTGCAGTTGCGATGAAAGCTGGATTATGTCTGTATTTGGATGAAACTAGATACAGCAATCTGTAGAGATCTAAATCAAATTATGGAAAGCTATATTTCATTTTCTCCATCATCATAGACCCTTACAATATCAGCTTACTCAGTATGATAGCTATCTAAGGTGAAAAGAATCAATCTCAATCAGCGAAAATCTTCACTTCCGTAGTCTAAGGATTAGTCTTCCTATCTTCCTTTCGTCGAAATGCCTTCTCAAATGAATCCGGCCGTCTGCGCAAGCTCTGGCATCTTTGCCGTCCGTCCAGGTTTATCCGTCTTTTCCTTCCGGTCACTTCTTGACGCAGCCCTGCCTGCAGCCCTTCGCCCTGCCTGGTGCCTGCACTCACCTGCCTGGATTATGCCGGAAGTCGGGATTGCAGCTGAATCTGAGCATTCTGCATGAAGCCAAAATCGGGGTCCGCGCCTGCAAGTTTCCCTGCGAAACATTCCAGTTGCGGAGAGTCAATCTTGATTCCAGATTTGTCTAAGCTCGGGCACAACACAGGTCTTCGAGCCTCATGACATCTTATGGAGCGATCCTGGGGATGCCAAAAATCCTTGTAAGATACATCCGTGGGGTATGGGAAGCCTGAAAAGCACATGTAAGTTCGAACCGGTTTTCAGGGTTGCAAAAACGAATCCCAATTGTGCCGATGATGCTCGCGTACGGGATACCCCCGCGCCTTGTATGCGAACTTAAGCGAACCCGCGTCTAGGTACCCACAGGCCTCACATAGAACAGTCTAAGCTGCATGTCGCACCCAACTACAACTTTCAGCGCTTGAGTTGTATTGATCATAGGAGGCAATCTCCAGGTAGGTCGTTTTCTCAGACGGATCAGATGCGGCATCCTGCACAAGACCCCACGTAGCCCCACTGCAATGTCCAACAGCACTCAAAACCTGCAACCTGAAGCAACAAGGTGGCTGTCAGCTTGTGATTTGGTCCAGCTGCCATGCTCAAGGGCACCATGAACAGCAACATGCTGCGTATCCTAATGGTATGCAACGTTTGCCAAGTCCGTGCATTTCGAATTGCCGAAGATGTTTCTGATCCAGGTTTATTATTATCATGACCTCATGCTTGCAGGGTCAGTGCGTGTCTGACCATAGGCAAGAGTGTCGTTTTGCAGACCTTCTGTTCTAGAGGACTTTGATGATGGAAGTTTGCGTGCTCTCAGTCTCAGGTCAGCTAGGAACTATGATGCCTTGTCTGCATCTCCTATGAAGGAGGAGTTTGCTGCTTTGCGACAGGACAAGAGCAAGTTGCCTACGAGTCTTCAATTTCTCACCTAAAAGGTTTGTGACTTCTACATCGGTTCAGACCTTGACTGAGATTGACAGACTTCTTCCTGGAACTGAGCTGGAGATTACACTTCTGCTTCCAAACAAAGCTCTTTCTCTCAAACCTAGTTTGAGAGTGCTAGGATGTTGACTCTTCCTCATATGGAGCTTGAATTTTGCAATGTCTACAGAGGAACCTTCGGTAAGAGACACTCAGATGCGGTTGCCATCTTGTGAAATCCTGAAGACCATGGTCATGTTTTCTTTGTGACGCTTTCTCAACTTATTCCTTGTTTAAAGAGTAGGAGAGCAGATCATTGGTGCATGATGGTCTTCTGGAACGAAGGATCTTCAGGTAAGCCTGCTACAGGTCCTGCCGCAGGACTGGATTTTACCAATGAGCCTGTTCTGTTCTCTTCTCCAAGTGTACCTCCGGATGGTACATCTGGAAATGGAAATTATGTCGACGCGCGTGGGCCATCAGGTTATCAAGATCCTGCTATTCATGATGAGGATATACTTTCTAGCAGTAGCGGTAATGATCCTCTGCGGTCGGGGCCGCCTGATGCAGCCTCCCGAGCCGTTGGATGGCATTGAAATTCAATGTGGACCTGGACACACCCCTCCACACTGTCCTGGAGGCGGTGTGGCGATACCGGTGCCAGAAGATAGCGGTTCGTCCATGGAGCTTATTCCGGACGGAAGTTACGGGCCTTCAACGGATGACGATCGCCCGCGATGTCCGATGGAATACATACGGTGCCACCTCCTCCTCCTCCTTCAGGAGGACCTCCAAACGCATCTTGGACAAAGCAGCCGCTCGCTAATCCCGATCAGATTACGCAGCCGCCGCCGCGCATGCCACCGTCAACACACAAACGGATTGCCCTGTTCCGAAACATCCGCATTTTCCGCTGCCTGGAGCTTTGCGTCCATGAGTTGAGGACACGCTTTCTTGTCACGTTGGCAACCGGAGACAACGTGTTTGGTTGCAGTTTGAAGCAGCCGTTCTTTCCAAAACTCCTCATTAGAAGATCAAGAGACGATAGTCACAGCTCAGCGCTCACCTCAGGACCTTCCATTCCAACTTCAAGAGAGAAGGCCCTTCACGACTTGACCGAGTACGAGTCCATCAAGGCCAAGCATGCGCAGAATCTTCAGGATCTCTTGGATATAGTATAGGCCTTATGAGGACATCCATGACTTTCAGCCTTCGCGTACAGTCGTGGAGGAAATTGAAGTTGAGGAAGCCGTTCCTCGAGCGTCGCTCCCTCGACTTAGAGGCTCTTCATTCGAAGAGGTGCCAGACGAGGCTGACGCAGCTCCTGAAATCAAGGAGGAGGTCTAGGAAGAGGAGTTCTTGAAGGACACCCCTTTGAAGAAGCCTCGAGTGTCAGCAGGCCCTAGGACAGCTCCTGAGGAGCCCCTGGTTTTTCAGAGGGATCTCCAGAGCCGCCAGCTATGGAGCCTGCAGATGAGTTAGTGGGGGTGCCAGGGTCGTTCTTCCAGAGGTTGACGAGAAGGGAGACAGCGCCGTCTGCTTTTGGGGAGCCACGTAAGTCCAACGAACAGCTCGTCGGCGATGCCACGGAGGTGGTCGAGAATGACATTGTTCGGGAGAGCGCAGAGTTCACTGAGTTCATCAACGCCTACATGAGCTTAGAGTACGGCTCCCCGATTTTCAAGCTCAACAAGCACAGGCATGGTCCTAGCTGCGGGTTCTACCATGACGACGTGAGACAGGACAAGGTCATGTTCTCCGAGCTTCAGCGTGTTAGCGATCGTGCTCTACTGTTTGGGTTCAGCGCCCTTGTGAAAAGTACAGGGCCGCTGAGGACAAGGTGTACGCAGCTATGGACAGGTTGGGTCCCGTCTACATTGGCCGCAAGCCGAGGCGTGAGATCTCCTTCTCCGCAGGTGCTGTTCAAAGTGCTTTCGACGACGGCCTCTTGAAGAAGTCCTCCGTTGTTGTTCCAATAATGGAAGACCTCCGAGGCAGATCCTCGAGAAGCTCCCTATTGAGGGAGGTACTCGAGTGCGTCTGCAAAACGCGTCCCTAGGTTTCTACTTAGGGTGCGGAATTATAGCAAGGAGGAAGTTGGGAACATCGTTGCTGAGGACGCCGAGATCTACTTCAAGGAGATCAAGGACCAGGTGACGTCTGGTCCCTTTGTGCGCTCCTCTAAGGAAGCGCTCACTGTTCTCGTAGTCAACCTGGTGAACTTTATCAGAGGCAAGAAGTCCACAATGCCACCAGCCTTTTCAGCATTCTATGACGATCGTAGCCATGATGGAGTTGGACCTTTCGTCTGGCCAGAAGCAACAGTCATGTGATAATGCTCAAGACAGAGATTCGGATTACCTTGCCCAAGCAGGATTGAGCATTTGCCAAAACAATGCCGGTGATGTTACAGTCCTTGCGAGAACTAATTACGTCTACCAGGACACACAGCAGATCGCAGGCCCTGCGAAGTTGCCCAATTTCTTGCCCATTTCCTACATGATCGTGGAAATCAATTTCGGTAAGACTATCCGTAAGGTTGGCTCACCGTATCGCGACCAGTTCGAGGGCAATTACATGGACTATGATGTCGAACGCAGCTCCATGAACATCACCAGAGTTTGTGTGTTTCGCTTGAGCAGTAGGGTTGCTTCCAGGAAGCCTGCCCACGCACGAGGCCACCGGCGTCATGCTCGCAGACTGTGTCGACTACCAGGCCGGCATCATCTCCAGGAATGCCAACCAAGCGGCCTATCACACAGGAGGTTACAAGCAAGGAAGCACCAGCATTCGTGATTTTTGTTGGCAAGAGATGGTTCGATACCATGTCAAGACATACACCGAAACAATGAGGAATGATCCTTATTGCTGGCCACGTTGTCGGCTAATTTCGGCCAATCCTTTGACGCAGCTCCGATGGTGAGAGGACATGATTGGACGGCCATGGTCGCAAGTGCCTCCCATCGGTTGATCCAAGGTGCCACCAATGGACTGTTGTTGCTTGCATTGCGGAGTGGGCACATTCGTTTTCCATGGAGAGATGGGAAACCGCGCAGCCGGGCTTCCAACACCGCATCACAGTGTCTGAATGTTTTGCGCATGTTTTTGCAGAGTAACACGGAGTGCTACCTGCTGCCCGAGTCGGACACTGATGGCCACCCATCGCTCCTGTTCCATGTCAAGCCGGCGTGGATGAACTCGCAGGACAAGACGGTCTTCGCATCTCAACTGCCTCAAGACCAAGCACTACCAAAGACGAGACAACCGGAGGGAGAAGACGGCTGGCCCGCCTAAAACCACCGCGCCCGAGCCAGCGCAGCCTGAGATCAGGGGCACGCCCGAGCCTAAAGGAACCTAAAGGCAGGGGAATGTCCTCGTTCTCTGACGAGACCGGCAAGGGCAAGTCCAAGAAAGGTGACAGACACCGGGAAGGGCAAGTCCGCCAAGAGCTCTGCAAAGGGCTCCGCCGAGAAGGGCGCGTCCAGGGGCAAGCACTAAAGAAACGGCAAAGGCAAAGAGTGAGCGCGGCCTGCGTGATATTACGGATGGATCCGCATTACGCGTTCCTTTTTAGGTTCG